GAAAGGAGAGGCGATAATTCTTTGGCCTTGGGCCTTAGCTGGGGTTCGGTGTTGGGCCACGAAACGTGCGAATGAGTGCCGAAAAGAGAGGCGGGAACCCAAGTTAATTTTGGCTGTTGAGCATTAGCTGGGGTTCCCATATGGGGCCATGAAACGTGCGAAGACTGTGGGGAAATCATTTGCACTGGCATTCGGGACTTAGTTGAGGTTCCCGGTGAGGCCACGAACCGTGCGAGGGTGGGTGCCGACATGAGAGGCGGGAACTCATGTCAATGTTCGCATTTGGACCGTAGCTGGGGCTCCCCAGTGGGTCCACGAAACGTGTGAGTGGTGTGCCGAAATCAGAGGCGTCTAGGGAGGAGGAGGGAGGGAGGGAGGGAGGAGAGAGGAGTGGGAGGAGGAGGGAGTGGGAGGAGGAAGTAGGGAGGGACGCGGGGCGCTGCTAATTCAGAACGAGGACCCAACACCACAGGATGGTTGGGAAAACATGGAAGTTCTAGAACTTAGACGTTTATCTTGACATGGCGCTGAGTATTATTTTCCCTTCCACCCAGAGAAAGCACCACTTGGTCGGTGAAGACCGCGCGCCCCTTGCAGACACGCGTTGGCTGGTGTAGACACCGACTGGCTGGTGCAGACCTCTACGCAGTTAGGGAGGAGGGGGGTACGACAACCGTTTCGTGCAGCTGGCTTCGGCCCTGCGGCTGGGTGCTCTCCTTGACGCATGATCAATTGTCGCTGGGAGGCGCCAGAGACACCGGCAACGTGAGCTGATACGACACCCCTTCCTTTACTTTATTGCCCCCCCTTCTCGTCCGATCGAAGTCGCGGGTGGTCGCTAGGCCCGCCCGAGGGCCATCCGGCCCAGGAGCTCAGCCAAGCAGAGCCTCCAGGGGGCCAGACATAGGCAGGGGCGCGCTGATGGCTGATCGAGGCTGCCTTTGGGGGAGGAGGAGGAGGAGGAGGAGGAGGAGGAGGAGGAGGAGGAGGAGGAGGAGGAGGATTTCTTCGGTAGGATGCCGGAGGGGAGGGGATGACTGCAGAGGAGCAGGAGGAGAAGGAGGAGGAGGACGCTCTGTCTGGCTGCCGCTGGACTCGCTGTCCCCGCGGGGCGACCGCACGAGTCCGGGGCAGGCCTCCTGGCTGCGGCTGCAGCGCTTCGTCTTCGGCAGCCAGCTCGGCACCTTCGCGAACCTCCCGGAGCTCGCGGAGGCGGTGCGGACCGCGTTCGGCGGCCAGCACCGCGAGCGCCTCCAGACCGACACGCCCCCGCTCACCGCGGCGGCGCTGGGGGCCGCGCTGCGGGCCCTTGACGAGCTCGGCTACCCCTTCCAGATGCCGCCAGCGAAGGCCTTCTCCGCCTCCTCCTCCTCCTCCTCCTCCTCCTCCTCCTCCTCCTCCTCCTCCTCCTGCTCCTCCTCCTGCTCCTCCTCCTCCTCCTCCTCCATCCCTTCTCCTCCTCCTCCTCCTCCTCCATCCCTCCTCCTCGTCCTCCTCCTCCTCCTCCTCCTCCTCCTCCTCCTCCTCCTCCTATCCTCCTCCTCCTCCTCCTCCTCCTCCTCCTCCTCCTCCTCCTCCTCCTCCTCCTCCTCCTCCTCCTCCTCCTCCTCCTCCTCCTCCTCCTCCTCCCCCATCATCCCCCAATCCAACTGTTTCCTTATAAATGACTCCTCCCTGTCGCACGCTGGCGGGCAGGGGATCTTGTCTGGACGCCCAAGTCGTTCCCTCCCCTTCCCGCCCTCGGCCCTTCCCGGTCCTTGCCTCTTCCATATTCCTGCCGCCTCGCGGGGTGCACTTCCGCGGCACGTGCAGTCGAGTCGTTGTAGGACTTCTGGAGGGCTTCTTGGGGGCATCTTGGGGGCCACTCTGGAGGCTTTTTTGAGGCCCCGTGGATGGGGGCGTCTGGGCCCGTTGGGGCGCTCTTGCACCGTCTGGCCTCGTCGGGGGCCGTCTTGGGGGCCTCTCACGGCCACCTCGGTGCTCGTTCACGGGGTCCCCTGTGGGCCATCTTGGGGCTCTCTTGGGGGCCTCTTGGGCCGTCTTGGGGCCATCGTGTTGCCTGGGCCATCATGGGCCCCCGAGAGTCCCAGAACGGCGAGAACGCATCTTTCAATCACGAGATTCACCAAAACAAGCATGCGGGAAACCAAAACGTAAGCCGAGAACGCATTTTTAATTGACAGAACTACCAGAACAAACCTGCGGGAAATCAAGGTGTTCGACCTCTGGGAGCGCTGCTGGGGGTCCACTTGGGGCCATCCAGGGCCGTCTTGGGGGCGCCACTTGGGCCCTCTTGGGGCCATCTTGGCCCGTCTTGGGGCCCTCTTGGGCTGTCTTGAGGCCGTCTTGAGCCGTCTTGAGGCCCCCATTCGTCTTATCTCATACGTGTCTCATTCCATTCCCATACCCCATTATCTTCGAGATTCATGGCCATCTTGAGCTGTCTTGAGGCCCTCATGGGCCCCCAGGAGGCCCCCAAGGCAGAGATCAGTCATTTCCCCACCGATGTTGGTTGGCTTTTGAAGCCCACACCGGGGCCACCACCGTTGGTCGATGGATATGGCGTGGCGCCGGGGGTGTAGGGGGAGGCGCAATAATGCAAAGGCACACGATGTGCAGCATTCTGCGATACTTTGATACACTGTTGACGTTGCATGACTGCCTCTGCGGACCTGCCTCCGGCAACACGTTCCTTCTGGGCGTGGATTCCCGTTGCTTTTCGCGGGGTGCACTTCCAGAGGACGTGCACGTGCAGTCAAGTCGTTGTGGGGCCTTTGGGGAGCCTTTCTGGGGGCCTGTGAGAATCGAAGAAGGAAAACGCTATAAGGATAAACTTTCGACGCTCCGCGCCGTTTTCTTGGATCGGCGTCTTGGCCCCCCGCGCCAGGGAGGGGGGTCCAGCGCAGTTCCAAGAAATCCGCGCGGACCGTCGAAAGCTTCTGTTTATGCCGCTTTTTCTATAGAACACTCTTGGGGGCCTCTTGGGGCGCTCTTGCACTGTCTGGCCCCGTCGGGGGCCGTCTTGAGGGCCTCTCGGGGCCGCCTCGGGGCTCGCTTAAGTTAGGGGGTCCCCTTGGGCCGTCTGGGAGCCTTTCTGGGGGTCTCTTAGAAGACTCTTGGGGGCCTCTTGGGGCCTCCGGGGGGGTCTCTTTGGGGGATTCTTGGGGCCTTTGTGGTAGCGTCCTGGCCCATCCGGGGGCGCCCTGGCGCCGTTTGCCCCCTTCGTCGTGCCGTCTTGGGGGCCTCTTCTGGTGGCTTCTTGGGTGCCTCTTGGGGTGTCCTGGGGCCTCTGGGACTGTTTTAGAACTCGGCGGCGAGCCTCTTCGGAAGGCTCGGAAGTTCCGCGGCCTTCTGAGTAGTTTCCTAAGCCTTCCCCGAAGACGCAAGAAGGTTGCAGGGGGCCTCTGGGGTCTTTTTTCGAGAAAGGAAAGGCCATACACATCTGCTCGCGCTCCGCGCGGATTCCTTGGATCCGCGCTGGGCCCCCCCAGCGGCGCCTCTTACGCCGCCCCTGGCGCGCTCCGCGCGCCAGGGAGGGGATCCAGCGCAGATGTCCAAGAAATCCGCTCGGAGCGCAAACCGTTTATGTTTATGGCGTTTTTGCTTCTTCTAGTCTCAGAGCGCTCTTGACCCGACAGGCTCCTTCGGAGGCCGTCTTCGCGGCCTTGAGGGCCGTTTTGGGGCACACGTCGGGCGCCGTCGGGCTGTTTTGGGACATCCTGTGCTTGTCCTCGGGGTCTCTTGGGCCATTCGGGCCGCCTTGGGGCGATTTTGGGCTGTCGCGGACGCTGCGAAAAGCACAGCGGAGTTAATGTTACGTTTGCACGTGGAATTGTCGGTTATTGACACTTTCCTTTGCAGCGCTGCGTGTCCGACATCTCCAGCTCTTCATCCACTGCTGCTGTACATGGTCTGTCCAGGATGTCTCCCCTCTCTGCAGCCTCCTGAGAAGCCGGTGGGCCTCTGAGGGGGGTATGGGCAACAATTATTTCAAGTGGGAGGGTAGGGGTAGCAGGAGTGTCAGTCTCGATAGGGTGTTTACTGAGACGACGAGGCGGACGAGGAGGCGGCTATGTTCGCGCACATCTGTACGCTGATGGACCATCTCCCGCTCACCGCACCAAACTTGAGCCAAATACAGTTCCAGACACTGTGGCTCGCAGGAGTGGCGTTGCCACCACCCTTGCAACACCTAGAGGGCACACGGTGGCAGTCTAAACGGTCGCCGCCCTGCATTATTCTTACACGTGGTTCGAAGACCTCTTGGCGCATGCTCATCACAAGAGATCGTGACCTCGGGAGCGTGGATCAATCACAATCAACGCGCCTAGTAAAGACGCGAGCCTTCATCTAGGGTACCCTTGTGTCCTTGCCTCTGCGGCCCGTGCTTTGCCGTTTTCACTGGTCGCTCGCCGCCCCAACAAATCAAACTTCTGCCTCCGAGGGCCTTGCTTCCTCACCACCCGTCCTTAACCCACGTCTTGATTGTACGTTTACTAGGGGCCTTGGCCTTGGGATGACGTCGGGAGCGTGGACTCGTCGCGTTTCTGCTGTGAGTGGCCTCGAGAGGGGTTGTGGTGCATGCCGAAGGCTGCCAGAAGCGGGGCGGCGCGTCCTTCAGAACAGTCCAGGAACCCTCTCGGACAGCACTTGGCGGCGTGCCCCGCCTCAACGTGCCGGGGGAAGGGTGGCGGCTCCAGCTGCGCCTGCTCTGATTCTCGTGTAGTGGGAGGGCGGGTGCAAGTGGGCGGGGGGTCCACGGATTCGTTCTACTGGCTGGCTCGGCCTCCTAATGACTCCACTCCGCTGCTCCTCCTCCTCCTCCTCCTCCTCCTCCTCCTCCTCCTCCTCCTCCTAGCCGCCGGCGCGGCCCAGACCCCCCCTTTCCAGAGGCGGCCCGCCGAGGACCGCCCCGCCGCAGTGGGGGCAGCCGCGGCCCGCAGGCGCCGACTCCTGTGTGCCGCCCCCTGGCGGGGGGCGGGCGGCACGCGGCAGCCCAGGCGCGCGCTAGTGTGCCCCTGCGGGGCTGGCGGCTCCGCATGCTGAAGCTCTTCCTCCTCTCCCTCGTGGGCGCCGTCTGCGCCGCGTGCGGGAGCTTCGCGGGGTGCGGGGACCCCCAGTCGCTGGACACGGCCCACCGCCCCGACGAGGTCTCTGCGGTGTTGTGCTGCGGCGGGGTCATCGGCTTGCCTGGCGTGGGCGTGCGAGTACGGCAAGGTGAAGCCCATCATGCGGCATCGGCGCCATACCACCACTTTGTGCTGTTCGGCTGTGCCTCGGTGCCGCTTCGTCACGAAGGTGGGCGGCGAAGCCATCAAGATCAACAAGACTTGGCCCGCCAAGAAGGAGTCCAGGCGGATTTCCGCCCCCCCCGCCGCCTTGCTTGGGCGTGGCGGCCTCGCGTACGGCTGGTCGGGGCCCGTCGTGGTCGGGGCGCTGGCGCGGTACTTCTCTCCGCAGCCGAACTCGGACCTGGGGGCCAAGGCGACCTCCGACGCCGTGGGCGCGCTCGGGGCCGAGAAGGAGACGGTGTGTGGGCCCGCCGTCCGCGTGTGGCGGTCCACTGTGGGACCCTTCGCCTTCAATACCTACTATGATTGGGGCCGCACCTTCGAGGCGATCGACGGCACCAGCCTGATCGGCCACGTCTGCACCCCCGCGGAGGCGGCGCCGCTGGCCACCTGGGCGAAGGCGTGGAGAAGTTCGGCTCTGGCGGGGAGGCCCATGGCTGCTGTGCTGAACCGCACCCCCCTTGTGCCGAAGATGAAGATGGTGTCGCCGATCGTGGGCGAGGGCTGCGGGGCGTTCCTGGACGCCCCCCTGTACGAGCTGGCGTCTCACCGCGCGTCCTTCGTGGTACTGGTGGACCGCGAGATCACGGCGGACCACGCTGCGCTGCTGATGAACATGAGCCCCACCACGGCGCTGATGCATTTCTCCCAGGCCGTTGCGTACTACGCGCTGGTCGCCCGCATGACGAATGAGAAGTGGAGGATACAAGGACAGGAAGCTGCGGACGGAGGACGACGGCCTGTGCGAGTCGCTGCTGCTGCTGACGATGGGGGTCACCCAGCGCACACTGCGCAGCTGCGCGGTGGGGGGCATGCTCACGAAGGCGATCATCATCGACGACGGCTCGAAGATCGTGAAGACGTGGCAGGTGGAGACCAGGACGGGCTCGGTGAACGCGAAGGAGATGCGGGAGCAGGTGAAGCGGACGAAGGACGCGGCGAAGCTGGCACTGGCGTTGGCATCAGGAACTAGCGCGCGAACCCGTGCTTCTCGCCGCCGGTGCCCGAGTGGGTGCAGTCCCTGGCGCTTCTCCCGCTGAGCGGTGGCATGGCGGGCGAGCTGGCGACGCCCCCGTGGAGTGCTGAGAGTGCTGGGGAGAGGCACAAGCAGCTGAAGGACACTGACGAGAGTGCGAGCCCCGACAACTATGAGGTCCCCGCTTGCGCACGGGGGCTGGCGCTGATGGACTTCAAGATGACGGCCATGGGGCCCTTCCTGGCTCTTCTGGCAGGCGCTGCGGGGGAGGTAGGTGAAGGCCTCACCGCACCTGGCCTCCCCCTCGTTCGTGTGCGCGCTTGACAAGAAGAACGGGGAGGCTGGACCTGCTGGGTGCCGACTGATACATGCCAGGCGTACGTGGTGGAGGGCGTACACTCGTGGACCGCTGTGGCAGGGCGGCACGTTTTGGCCACCTCTGTGGGCCCATGCTCGCAGAGGGAGGAGGAGGGAGCACATGATGATCGCGATGAAGGGACTTCGTGGTGGCCAGCCCATGCTTCGTAAGAGCTACGACGCGACGGTGGAGGGCGCCCGCGGCTCGAAGGACCAGCTGGAGGAGTGCGCGCACGGCAGGCTGACGGGGGAGATGGAGAACACGGATGTTGATGCCTGCTTCGTCACCGCTGTGACGGGGACGAGACGAAGCCGCCTCACGGCGATCATCGACGCTGCTGACGCTGCTGGTGACTGGTGCACGGTTCGCAGTGGCAGTGGCGGCTTCTTGGGCGACACGTCGGAGCCCGAGTTTTTCATGGAGAACTACCACCACGCGGTCCGCGGCTGGCCCGCCTGGAAGCGGATGAAGGACGGGGCGAAGACGGTCAAGGACGCGAGCGACATACCCGCGGCGGCCTTCGCGGACGTGGACGCGGCCGTCGCCTCTCGCGAGCTGCGCGAGTTCTGCTCCCCGACGGCAACGATGTTCTACGCGACGGTCGAGGCGCTCGTGGGGGAGGAGGTCGGGGGTGCCAACGGACAGACGCTCGAGGCGGCGCCCACGGACATGGTTGGCGACTCGCCCGACTTCGTGCCGCTGTGCAGGCTCGCGAACTGCTACCACTACTACCAGATGGATAAGGTCATGATCGTGTCTGCGACCAACGATAAGGAGAACACCCTCTTGGACTCGTTCTTGCAGCTCGGCGGCGTGGCCACGTCGACCACCGCGCCCGCTGGATTCAAGAAGGACGAGCTCTCGGCCTGGATCGACGTGCTCAAATCGTGATGAGGGGGAACATTGGTGGGATGGACTCCAGGAGGCCGAACTACCTCGTCTACCTCGTGGTGGACGTTGCTCTGACGTGTGGCCGCGCACAGCGTCGCGCCTTTGAGCGCGGCAGTGCTGCCGTGGCACCAGGAAAAGATGGTAACGGCCTGAGGCCGTGGACAGCGGGCAGTCTCGATCAGTTTTGTCGTGTGCATGCGTGTGCGGCGCGGCGCGTGTGGCGGGCGCGTGTGCGCTCAGGTAACATTGCTCATCAGCTGCGTACTCCTCCTCCTCCTCCTCCTCCTCCTCCTCCTTCTCCTCTTCCTCCTCCTCCTGCTCATCCTCCTCGTCCTCGTCCTCGTTTTTGTTATCGTCGTCATCATCCTCCTCCTCCTCTTCCTCCTCCCTCCTTCTCCCTCCTCCTCCTCCTCCTCCTCCTCCTCCTCCGCCCTCCTCCTCCTCCTCCTCCTCCACCTCCTCCTCCTCCTCCTTCCTCCTCCTCCTCCTCATCATCATCATCATCATCCCCTTCCTCCTTTTCCTCCTCCTCCTCCTCCCCTGATATGGCGCGAGCGCGCCCAGATACTAGCTTGTCCCCTTCCCATCCCTCGCTCCCTCCTTCCATCTTCCTCTCCCTCCCTCTCTCTCTCTCTCTCTATCTCCCCCCGTTTTTGTCAACGTTCCCTCCCTCAGCCGCCTCCGTTCTAATCCAATCCTCTCCATCCCACTCCTCCTTGCCTCCCCCTCCCTCTCCCCCAAACCTCTGCCCCTGCCGTTCCTTCCCCGCTCGCTCCTCCACATCTCCCCCCCCCGGTCCTCGGAGGAAGGAGGAAGGAAGAGCAGCAGGAGGAAAGAGGAGGGAGGAGCGAAAACGAGCAAGTAGGAAGGGAAGGATGGAAGGAGGGAGGGAGGGAGGAAGGGAGAGAGGGATGGGGGGGGGGGGGGGGAGGGTTGCGGGGGAGGCGGGAGGGGGGGAGGGAGGGAGGGGGGGGAGGGATGGAGGGAGGGAGGGAGGGAGGGAGGAGGGGAGGGAGTGGGGGGGGAGGGAGGAAGGAAAAGGGAGGGAGGGAGGGAGGGATGAGAGCGGGAGGGAGCAAGGAGGTAGGGAGGAGGGAGGTAGGGTAGGGAGGTCGGAGAGCGGAAGAGCAGGAGGAGCAGGAGGATGAGGAGACGGGCGGAGGAGGAGGAGGAGGAGGAGGAGGGGAGGACGAGGAGGAGGACCTCCTCCACCTTGCCCAGGAGCACTCGAGTGGGCCCCCACCCCCGTCGCACGGGGGGACCCCCCCAGGCATCGGGGTTGGGTCATTGTCCGACCACGCCTCGGCAGCAGACCTGCCGGGCCACTCGCGCCTCCGCTTCACGCGGCCTCCCTTCGGAGCTGACCGCAGGCGCTCCCGAGAGAGGGGAGCTGGAGGCGGGGGTTTGGGGGGAGGGAGCCAGGAGAGAACGGGGACGGTGACGGGACGGACGAGAAGGGGGAGGAGGAGGAGGAGGAGGAGGAGGAGGAGGAGGAGGAGGAGGAGGAGGAGGAGGAGGAGACGGGCGCGCGGCCGGGGGGCCCTGCGCCTCGGCACGCCGGGGAAGGGCCTCCTCGGACGGGGCCACAGGCCGCATCGCAAGGAGCTTGACACGGCGCCGGGCGGCCCCGCCCCTCCAAGGTCGAGGAGCGCGCGTAACGTCATTCCCTGTCGCCGGAGTTGAGAGGCGCACCGCTCGCGCCCCCCCCCCCTCCAAAGTTGAGAGCGCGGGGGTCGCAAGGGGTCTCGTCCATCGTCCATCCCCCGTCCCCGCCGTGCGTCCACTTCGGCGGCGGGGGAGGGGCGAAGCGCCCCGGTCGTCCATTCATCCACACTGCTGGCAGGCATCTCCCTTACCAGACAGTCGGCAGGCACCTCCTTTCCGGACAGCAGGCAGGCCTTTCGGCCAGCAGGCGTCTCCCTACCCGACGGTCGACTGGCATTTCCCCTTTCAGACAGTACGGCATGCATTTCCATACCAGACGGCCGGCATGCATCTCCTGGGATGGAAGACGAGGATGGAAGGCATGCATTTCCACTGTCGGTAATGGAAGACGAGGATGAGCAGGAGAAGGAGGAGGAGGAGGAGATGGATATGGAGATGGAGGGAGAGGAGGAGGAGGAGAAGAAGAAGGAGGAGGAGGAGGACAAGTGCAAACCCAAGAGTCATCAACGATGTTGGAGTAAACCCTCCTTCCAAGCTCCCTCTTCACAGGCCCCTACAACGGCTCTATGACATTGAGGAAATTGCCTCTTTGGAAGACAACCGCTTGAAGACCCTGAAGCATGCCAAACAAATGTTCTCGGGATTCCAACGCCACGGATCAACCTGACTGTTTCGTCTTGCCAATCGTGCCAGAACGCCATTACCAAATCTTCAACACAGCGAACGAACATAACTGTTGCACCCGCCTAATCCTGAATCCTTTGAAAACACTATCTCTGGCATGTTGACGATGGGAGTCCGTGAAACCCTTGCAGATTGTGTAAGCGAATGTGCGCAGCGCCAAGGCGAGAGCCACATTTTGAAAAGGAACCGCCCTGAATCCGTGAAATCTTGAAATTGTTTAAGGCGCGAGCCACGTTTTGAAAACGACCCGCCCTCAATCCGTGTGAAGCTCTTGCAAATGTTTAAAACGAATGTGCGCCGCGCTAAGGCGAGGACCACATTTTGAAAACGACCCGCCCTCCAGAGGAGGAGGAGGAGGAACAGGAGGAGGAGGAGGAGGATGAGAGGGATGATGATGATGATGATGATGATGATGATGATGCTGATGCTGATGATGATGATGGTGATGATGATGATGATGACGATGATGATGATGCTGCTGCTGATGATGATGATGATGATGACGATGATGATGATGATGGTGGTGAGGAGGAGGAGGAGGAGGGGAAGGAAATGGAAAGAGGGAAGAGCGGGGTCATGATGCTGCTGATGCTGCTGATGATGGTAGTGATGATGAGGATGGTGGTGGTGATGGTGATGAGGAGGAGGAGGACGACGACGAGGAGGAGGAGGAGGAGGAGGGGGAGAAGGAAGATAACGAGGGTAAAGAAAATAGAAAGTCAGAAGATCGGGGATTATGTTGATGGTTGAGTCTTCAATATGAATTATGTTGACGATGATGCTTCTGTTGCTTTCAATGATGATGCCGTTGCAGCTGCTACTGATGATGATGGTGATGGTGATGATCATGTTGTTGATGATTGTGATTGACAATGGTGCTGATGGTGGCGATGATGATGCTGCTGATGATGATGATGCTGATACTGATGATGATGCTGCCGATGATGCTGATGCTGGTGCTGCTGCTGATGATGCTGATGATGATAATGATGATGATTCTGATGATCATGATGATGCTGATTATGATGGTGGTGATGATGATGGTGGTGATGACGATGATGATGAGAATGATGGTGCTGATGGTGGTCATGATGATGATGGTGATGACGATGATGATGATGATGATGATGATGATGATGATGATGATGACGATGACGATGATGATGATGATGATGATGATGATGATGATGATGATGATGATGATGATGATGATGATGATGATGATGATGATGGTGGTGGTGGTGGTGGTGGTGGTGGTGATGATGATGATGATGATGATGATGATGATGATGATGATGATGGTGATGACGAGGATCAGGAGGACGCGGAGGACGAGGAGTTGG